CCTCACCGACTGGCTGTTGGTGCGTGTATGGTTGTACGTGTGTGTGTCTTTGTGGACGCCTTCATAGGTGCTCGCTAACAGCACTTGCTCCAAAATTATGTTGAGGCTACACGGGGGGATCTTTGTATGTGCGTGCGTGGTGGGCAATGTGTTTGTGTCTATATGAACGTGTGTGTGTGTGTCTCGGAGTTTGCATGTAAGTGTGTTTTTGTGTACGTGTATTTGTGTTTATGCGATTATCTCCGTGTGTATGTCTGTATGTATGTGCCTATGTGTATGCATTGTATGTATACATGTCCGTGTATGTATGTCTTTGTTTGATGTGTGTGCTGACTTACAGCACTGGCCCCAACAGTCTGTTAAGCCTATGCGGGGGATCTTTGTCTTCGTGTATGTTTGTATTTCTGCACACACATGTCAGTGGGTATACGTGTCTCTGTGCATATCGCTGTCTCCGTGTGCATACGTATTGTGGTCCTCTCTGCGTGTCTAGCTATTGATTGCGTCTACTACTTGATTTCCCACTCCAACGACATTCAGAGGCGCCTCTAAATAATAACAAAAAGATCAGTCGCCCAGCGGCCCATGATGATGCTGGTCCCTTCATAATCCACCCACCCTGCTTGCATAGAAGAGCTGCGTGGAGCACCACACGTGCACCACCACCACCGCGACATACGTAACTACCGCTCGCAAAAAAACGAAACAACCACCACCACCGCACTCAGCGGTGTAATAATTGAACGACAGGGTGCATCTTGCCTGCATATGTATATCGATTCACGTCGCAATGGATCGTTGCTCCGGCGCGTGATGGCTTTTATTATTGTGTAATGTCTGCGGTGGGTGGGCTCGATTGGCCGAGTGCGTTTACGGGGCAAATGATCGCGGAGCGCGGTGGAACCTCTGGCAAACAGCAGCAGCCTCGAGGGTTTGTGAGAGAGAGAGAGAGCGAGAGGTAGTCGGAGGGAGGAGAGAGATCATTGAGACGCGACACACGCACACGACAAAGCTCTCCCAGACTTTCGAGACAAGTAACTGTTAGCGAGCACCGATGGAGGCCGACAGGGCACATCAGTGCGGGGGGTTGGGTGTGGCCAGATTGACTCCACGGCCGGCCGCCTTTGTCTCCCCAGTGGCCATGTTTACACATCGCACCAGGTACTCGTTTAAGGCTGAGTCGACCTGAGAGAGGCCCAGGACCGGTGCAGATAATCGTCACTGGGTGTTGTTGGTCGTGAGTGGGAATCAAACTCGGCTTGCTAGGTTCGTAGCGCAGAGCGCTAACCGCTACGCCACCGCTCCCCACACGCACATGCATTGATACACAAAGACAAACATACCACATATAGCCTTAACAGGGTGTTGGGGCAAGTGCTGTTAGCGCGTACCTATGAAGGCCGGAACGGTTACGGGGTGTGGTGGCTAGAACCACGCCCGACCGCCTTTGTCTCCCCAGTGGCGATGTTTACACACCACACTCATTTGAGGCTGAGTCGACCTAGGGGAGGTCCAGAACCGGTTCAGATAATGATCACTGGTGTTGGCTGTGAGCGGGAATCGAACCCGGGTCGCCAGGTTCATAGCACAGACACACACACACACGCAGGTCCCTTAATGTGTCTGCGTGAGACGTGGAGTGAGAGAGAGAGAGAGCACACCTCAAAATAGACCAAATCAAAATGATTCGGTACATTTCGTTCTTACGCCATTCATAGCACGAGGCTATCACGGAAGAATGCGCTGCGTTTTACAGGCAGGTACAGTAAGATGAGCGATGTTGCGAGGTGTTTTCTCAACCGAGTATATTTGCAGGTTATTTTTTTCATTGAGAAACGTGCGTTTGGAGTATTTGGCTGCTAAACATGTCCACGTAATGATAAGCGCCGTCTGCTTCACAGTGAACGTCAGAATGTTCCGTGGCATCATTCGAAAAAATATATATAGTGGCCCAAGTGTACCAGTTTGATGGTCCAAAAGTTGCCAAACTTGTTTAAAAAAAAAACGATTAAACTAAAACTCTTTTATTTTACCAGGTGAGGTTCACTGAGCTCTATAGCTCTCTTTTTTTCCCCCAGAAGCCACCTGGCTTATCGTCACGTGGAAATTTAGAGCAGCCAAGTCCTCTAAATGTAGAGGGGAAAACCGAAGGATCCTCCTCATTTGAATATGCAATGCAATTACGTTTGCAAATTAGGTGTTTTTAAAATATGAATTATCCTACATGGCATTGGTCATTTGTGTCTGCATTGCATTGCTCCGGTCAGGTGTGGTCAGAATGAATATTGTGCCCATCATCTCTGTGAGTTCGATTTATCAGCAACAGCGGGTGGGGGGGGGGGGGTCGCGGGTGGGGGGGGAATATCAATTACCATTAATTACGGGCGCAAAAGTGGCATCTTACTGTTGAAACAATAGCAACGAAAGAGTCATTTTTTTGCATTTAGAATCCCAAAGGCGCAAGGGAGGTGTGAGGCACGCGGACTTCGCACTTAGCCACCTGTTTACAGGGGCAATGATTGGACTTGGCATACGTGTGGGAAGTCCTGCGAAAGAAACTGCATTGTTCAAGTAACAAAGACAAGAGAAAGACAAAGATCCCCCGTTATAGCCTCAACAGACTGTGGGGGCAAGTGCTGTTAGCGAGCGCCTATGAAGGCCGGCACGGCACACGCGGGGGTGGATGGCCAGCAACCACGCCCGGCCGCCTTTGTCTCCCTTCGTGGCGATGTTTACACACCGCACCAGGTACTCATTTGAGGGTGAGCCGACCTAGGGGACTCAGTAACGCACGCGCTGTGACCTCTTTTTTCAACCAGCCTTCTCCTCTCTCGGAGTCCTGAGCTCCCGGGCCCACGCTCCGTATTTACCCCCCTCACCCCGACCTTCTGGAACCTTCCACAAGCTCCTCTCAGCATCTAATTGTTTCCCACCAAATTTACCTCCATTGGGTTTCCTCCAATCTCCTATCTCACCCCCTCCCCCCGCGCCGTCGTTACCACGGTCTTCTTGAATGATCTTCGTTGTGGTCCCGTGTTCACCTGTACACGTGCTTGCAAAACAAGGTAACGTGCAATCTTGATTTGAAGCTTTGGTGACTGCAGGAATCCATACTCTTTGGTTCTTTCGGTAAAGTCACGTGGGTAGAAAAATAATAGATCACGAGGTTTCGATCGCAACACAAGCAAATCGTCATCAGGTGGGACGACCACCGCCTACTTCAGCAGTGATTTCTTGCTGTGGTTGTCCCACCTGATGACGATTGCTTGTGTTGCGATCCAAAGGTGGTGATCTATTATTTTTCTACCTACGTGACTTCACCGAAAGAACCAAGGAGTAAGGTAACGTGAATATTTTCGCTCGGATTGTCCTCATGCAAGTCTACCTACCAAACGTTTTGTCTGCTACCTGAATGCTGCTGCTGCTGAGGCTGCATGGATCGAATGTTGACTTGCACATTTGAAATTGGGCACCCATGAACGAGCAATCACATCTCACAGACATCATGTTATAAACACCTCGAATGTTCCCGACACGCCATGCGGAGTGTCTGCCTCTTTCCTCTCACTTCAATCTACTCCCCACCACGCACTCTCTCCTCGCTCTCAGCTCACTCTACTCCCCTCCACGCACTCTCTCCTCGCTCTCAGCTCACTCTACTTACCTCCACGCACTCGCTCTCAGCTCACTCTACTCCCCTCCACGCACTCTCTCCTCGCTCTCACATCACTCTACTCCCCCACGCACTCTCTCCTCGCTCTCAGCTCACTCTACTCCCCTCCACGCACTCTCTCCTCGCTCTCAGCTCACTCTACTTACCTCCACGCACTCGCTCTCAGCTCACTCTACTCCCCTCCACGCACTCTCTCCTCGCTCTCACATCACTCTACTCCCCTCCACGCACTCTCTCCTCGCTCTCAGCTCACTCTACTCCCCACCACGCACTCTCTCCTCGCTCTCAGCTCACTCTACTCCCCACCACGCACTCTCTCCTCGCTCTCAGCTCACTCTGCTCCCCTCCCAGATCCTCATCCACGTGAAGGCCTCATCCAGCAGTGGAATAACAATGGAACTAACAAAATATTGTGAGAACCCGAACATTGTTTATTGTCCTTACTCTTGCTGTAAGTTACGCCTTAGAAATAACAGAGGTGCTTAAATAACATAGTTAAACACAGCACTAATAACTAACAGTACACACCCATTAAACAGCAACGACTTTATTTTTTATGATTAATACGTGGAAAAATCACAGTGAACCAAGATAATCATTATACAGCTTGCGTGACGCACAGCAAAGACCATAAACATTCTCGTACAATAAATAATAACTTGAACAACTTTATCATCTGTCGGATGAAGGCATTCCCTACCCCCAATACCGCATAAGTAATGGATTGGGGGGGGGGATTGGCGGAGGGTTGCTTGACCATACTTCACCACGATGATGATCAGTACCGGTTGGCGAAGGAAGGGCACATGACACTGGCTCTGGGCAACACACTCGCCGCCGACGTCAGCCGTGGGCTGGGAACTCAAACTGAAATTGCACTCGGGTTCATGTAACAGCGCGCCAACTCCTGCACCACCGCTCCCCCAGCCCTGTGTGGTATATCACTATTGGGTTTTTTTAGGGGGAGCGGTAGTGTCGTGCTTAGCGCTGCGCTACGAACCCGGCGACCCTACTTCAATTCCCGCTCACAGCCGACACCAGTGACGATTATCTGCACGGTACCTGGGCCTCCCCTAGGTCGACTCGGCATTAGATGGCTACCTGGTGGGATGTGAAAACATCGCCACGAGGGAGACAAAGGCGACCGGGCGTGGTTCTGGCCTCACCACCCCCCTCGTGTGCCGTGTCGGCATTCAGAGGCGCTTGCTAACAGCAACTTGCCCCAAAAGTCTGTTCAGGCTATAAGGGGGATCTTTGTCTTTGCATATATCACTCTCATAAAAAAATACAAATGGAAACACGCGAAACTTTACGATGTAAGTGCGCACACTGTGTGCTTGTAAATTTGAAAATAATAATAAACCATTCAAGGAAATGTGTTATGTACGTACAGCACGCTTAAACGTGTAACAGTTTGTCCCCCATTGGACAAACGGGTCGCTCAGAATCTCCCCGTGAGGCACAATGGTGGCTGCACTCCACTGACGAGTGTCAAAGCATAGCAAAATATTTACCCGAGACAAATTACATCACAGGAGTGAAAAAAAAAACTAATATTTGGGGGTAGGGGAGAGATTCAGAGTGCCGGTGGCTACACAGAAGCCACGTGATTTATGGGAACCTTGAACTGATTTTGAAAATAATCATTATTCATTTGTTTCTGTCCGGTGTGCACTTTTCTGGCAGAAGCGTTTTCTAATCAGCTGCGGAAAGTGCTTGCTTTGTAAAAGTGTTAGTCACGTTATTCCTGCGAAGGAGAGCACATTGAATCTAAAAGCTTCAACTGAATAACACTCCAGATGGAGTCAATATGTCGAACAAAGCTAATTGCACGCTTGCAATTACACCAATCAACACATGGATCTTCACGATGGTTGTCTTCCAGGTCTCCATAGTATTTTCTTTTGGAACCAATAGAGTTCTGGTTAGCCCATCACTCCTTTCGGGGTCGATAAAATGAGTGCCACAACTTTTGGGAAGTCATGGGGTTGACTGGCACCTTACTCTAAAATGTGGAATCTCTAGAAAATGGTAAGAAACAGCTTTGATTTAAGAAAGTAAAATATGAAGTCAAAAAGTTAAGTGTGTATCCCCGTTCATGCAAGCAAGGGGGAATCTGTCATCTCCTGTTGCGTAACGAACCCGCTCACCCTAGGTCGACTCAGCCTCAAATGACTGCCCGAAGCGATGTGTAAACATCGCCATTGGTGCTACTCGCTAACAGCACTTGCTGGGGGGTCGTCTTATTCACGTGTGCCTCTGTGTTTGCCCGTGTGTCCGATTCGTATGTGTGTCCGTCTTCGTGTTTGTCCATGTGTCTGTATTCGACTTGGTGGTTTCCCGTAAAACTTCATCACTTTCCTGACAGTTGCTTTAGGAGTCTTGAGCAACCGCACTGCAACCTAGGTTTCTCAAGAGCACCTTAGCTTGGGAGGCAAAGGCGGCCGGGCGCGGTTGCTGGCCAAGCCATCGGTCGATTCGCCCGCCCGCCCGCCCGCCCGCCCGCTCAACGACCCACTCCGTCACACGATCTCCGCCGCGCTCTTCCCTCGCGATCGCTCGCGCCCCAGCATCAGGAACTCCCTGCAGTTCCGCACGACCCCGCGGTCGTGGCTCCGGTGGCCCCCGTGGCGTTGGCCCCCGCGCGCCGCCAGCGTGGCCTCGCGCTGCGTCTTGTTGCGGGCGACGTGCGAGAGCTGCACGCAGAGGAGGAGCGACACGAAGACGGCGGACAGCGCCGCGTACACGGCGCACGCGTACACCAGCGCGTCCCTGCGGAACACGCGCGCGTTAAAGCGGGGGTACACGAACATATGTACACCCGCAGAGCACGTACAACAGCGCAGCGCATGAACGCGGGCATGCTAACATGTGTGCACGGCGCAAGCGTGCACCAGCACGGCCCTGCGGAACACACAACGAAGGTGACGACGATGATGGCGATGATGATGATGGAGATGATGGTGATGACGACGATGATGACGACGACGACGACGATGATGATGATGATGATGATGGAGATGATGGTGATGACGACGACGACGACGATGATAATAATGACAAAGTTTGCACACTCACTCGGAGCGCTCGTAGGCACGCGGGCAGTAGACGAGCGCCAGCGCGAGCGGGGAGCCGGGGCAGACGAGCGGCAGCGCCAGCGCGAGCCCCACGCACACCGTGGCTACGAACAGCGCCAGCAGCGCCACGAAGCACACGTGGTTCCCCTCGCCCACGCAGCTGTCGATCCTGCGCTTGGGAAAGACGGTCGTCACAAGGTCTGATCAATGGCGACTTAGCCGGCCAGCAGGTGGCGGCGATGGCAGTGGCGGTAGCCGGCGACGCTGCTTGCACGTGGCTACCGCTGATCCGGCGGCGCTCTGGAGGCACCAGCGAAGGTTGGTGGATCGCGGCACAAAAGTTGCGCAACTCCCCTTTACGTGGGCCGCCGCGGAGGTGCCCTACCCTGGTTGGCCACAAGGCGGTACACCAAAAGTACGGACTAATCTCCATCTGTTTCCATCTGTACGGGGGGGAGGGGAGGGAAGTACAGTGGTGGTTCCCGCACGCACTTGGGTTCTTTTTTCTCCCGAGCGCTCCAGTTTCTATCCCACGCATAAGATCACGCGCAACTGGCCGAACATCCCAATGTCGGGCTACGGAGCTCGGGCAAATTGATTGCGCCGGTTCCGGCTGCCGCCCCGCTTCGTTCGTGGGCCACGTCGAAGGTGGAAGGGGGCCTCACGTGGCCACGAGACGCATGAAATTCAGTCATGGGCTCTATCTGGCCCATGGGCATGTGTTTGTTCCCTGTGCCGCTATTGCTATGAATGCTATAACTAAGCTCTGTTATGTGCGAGGCTGTTTAATTTACACGCGTCTGTGAAATTATTTTTTGACGGCGGTTTTGTTTATTTATTTAACCCTATTGCTTACCCTGTTTGCAGTAAGCTCTGGTGTGGGTTTTGAGTAAATTATTCATTGTTTTTTTTTTTACTCTTGTTGAGTTGGCTCAATCCCTCCCTGCCGTCTTTCTTGGGCTGTGACCATCCCGGTAACAGATCCGCTTGGCTCAAAGGGGGCCTCACCAGCTGACGCACCCAAGTCCGAGTTTGCGGCCCCCTGCTGGTGAGAGGCTGAGAGGGTGAGAGGCTCTCACCAGACGCAGTGGTGGTCGAACCTCCGCACGCAGCGATCGCACACGCGGCAATGCCCGGCCCGCGCAGGGCGCCTCGCGCCACACACCTCACAGGCACGACGCTCGCTACCGGGAGAGCCAGCCGCCCCTTCCTGGACGCCACCAGATTCACACACACACGCATGTACACACAGCAACGTACACACACGCATGTACACACAGCAACGTACACAAACGCACATACACAAACGTGCACATGCACGCACATACACACATGAGCACACGCACGCATACATGTACACACGAAGACAAAGATCCCCCGTATAGCCTTAACAGACTGTTGGGACAAGTGCTGTTAGCAAGCACCTATGAAGGCTGGCACGGCACACGAGGGGGTGGGTGGCCAGCACCACGCCCGGCCGCCTTTGTCTCCGTAATGGCGATGTTTATACAACGCATCAGGTGCTCATTTGAGGCTGAGTCGACCTAGAGGAGACCCAGGACCGGTTCAGATAATCGTCACTGGCATTGGCCATGAGCGTAAATCGAACCTGGGTCGCCGGGTATACGTACGCACGAACACATCGCCTCGGTTAGAAACCAACCTCATTTGAAAGAGAAAATCATTTCAAAAAATGTATGAACTATCGTGAGCACGCACCTCGGCGTCGCTGGGATCCAGGTATCCCGGGTCGCGCCGTGAGCAGTGCAGCAGCAGCAGCACGGCCACGAAGAGGGCCGTCACGCACAGCCACTGTCCGTCGCCGATTCCTCCTCCTCCTCCTCCTCCGCTCGTCACCGCCATCTCCGTCGCGTCTCGGAACCACCGCCGCCGCCGCCGCCACCACAGCTCCCAGGAGAACACGGCGTAGAGGAAGAGCAGCGAGGCGAGGCCCAGTCGCAGGAAGAAGGGGGAGCGGCGGCGGCGGCGGTGCGTGGCGAGGAAGTAGGCGAGCAGCAGAGCGGGCGCCGCGACCGCCGCGGCGAGGGTGGCGGCCGGGCGGAGCGCCGCGACGCGCAGGGCGGCCGGGAGCAGCAGCACCGGCAGGATGGAGGCAGCGTCCGCCGGGGTCAGCAGGCGGCGAGCGCCGCCGTTCGCTCTGGCGGTGCCGGTGGCGTTGCCGCAGCGGCCGGCCGCCGAGCACCACCGCGGCACGCGGATCCGGTCGGTGATGTCGTCGCACAGCGAATGCAGCGAGGCGAGGCTGACGCCCTGGCCCTTGAGGCAGCTGTGGTGCGTAGGCGAGAGGGACGCGCGCCAAGTTCGGGTCGCTGGATTCATCGCGCGGTGCACTAACCGCTCCACTCGCGCTTACCATTTAGGTACACATGGGGTATCCACACGCACAGGTGCATACGCCCATCGCTGTGTTCACATACACAAGCGTACGCGCATATTCAATCTACATACTATAACGATAACTGTAACATCCATTTGCCATACCTTTGTAAATGTGTTTTGCATTTTTATTGTATCGGGTTTTCCACGTGCTTTGATGTTTTAAAGTTAGTTAACCGAAGTCATAATCGATTACTGTTGGGTCCGATCGTGTGAATGATAGTGCTTAAGCGATAGTACATCATACCTGTCAACATATACAGTTTATTCTTGAATAGGAAAATTTAGTTTTCAGGTCCATACGGCGTCCAGCCGTTTCAATACGGGCATTAAAACATAATTTTTGTCTATTTGTTTGTGTTTTACTCTTGTGATGGGACTTTGTAGGATGGACATTTGAGATTTATAAGGGCACGGGGTGACCAATAAGGGACCAATAAGGTGTGACTCGGTCTGTAATAAGGTAGGGCACTGATAAGGGGTTGACAGGTTTTGTACATTGACGCGTTTATTCACGTGACAGCTTTGTCTATTCGACTGAGTCGGGTGGTGGAGGGGCCGTTACGACACAACACACTGGCACGTGGTGTACTCGCGCAACGATCTGATCCAAAAAAATAAAATAACAACCAACGATGAATGGTAACGATAAGTGCGAAAGGCTGAATGGTAAAATCGTTGAACGGGAGTTTATCCAGCAAAGGCATTGGCGTAAATCGTTTAACCATTGCGACTTTACAAGCCCAAACGTTAGACAATGCCCGTGTACCAAGTTGCACAACATTCAAATTAAAATCACTACGCAAATGGTGACATATAATCGTCATGCCGTCACTTTACTCTGGAAAACATTGAGCAACAGTCGGACTTAGTGGAGCGCAGTTATTTATTGACAACTTTTACCGTTTGTTTAGTTCATGAAATACGTAACATTATCAATGATAATCGCGTTATGGCGATATTTTGCAAGAAAATATGATACTGTTGTAGTGGGTTCCACGGAGGCAGACACTTCTAACTTGGAGGCAATACGTTTATTACACACCCCAACAGGGTAACTACATAACTATATACACTCTTGGTGGGGTAAAGACATAGGGTGGTGACCACCACGGGCAACTACTTAACCACTTAACGGGCTAACTATATAATCCAGGTCAGCTAACGCGCTGCCTGGTCAACGATGTCGTGCCCTAAGAGCGGAGACCGTAGCACGACGGGTTGATCCCAGAGAACAGCCCCGCTCGGCTCACAGGACCCCCTTCTTATTCCCCGAGTGTGGCCTTGCTCCGCCCTCGGCCACGCCCCCTTCGGCATCTTCCCCGAAGGTTCTGGGACCTCACATCACGTGTCCCCTCGGTCCCCTTCTGGCCCCCGTCCTTATCCTCTCCTGGTCACATGTCCTCTCGGGTTCACCTAGCCCAGGGGTGGGAAACGTCCGGCCCGCGGGCCTTACAAGGCCCGCAATATCATTTGATCCAAGGCAACCGCAGGCGGGACTCGAAATTCAATAAATCTAGGAGCAAACCTGCAAAAGCAGTTGCGAGTAGCAACATCATCAATACCGGCTAACATCATCACACGCCTCGCCAAAGAGAAGCAGTTACAGCCATCGCATTAGGGGCGAGTTAATTAAATGTTTGACCAAATATAACAGGCCAATTTTTTTAGTTGATAATTTTTTTTATGGCCTGCGAATGATGTTATAAATATCCAAATGGCCTTTGGCAGAAAAAGATTCCCCACCCCTGACCTAGCCTGTCCCGTATGCATTACGTACTCTGGAGACAGATTTAGGCTCTAAGACGCACAGTTACATTCTTCTCTCAGTAGCTAGTGCCAACACTACAGTGACTCACTCTACGTCACTACACTATTGTCGTGGACCTTTCATCGTCTGATATATCGTGCCAAAAGCAGTTCTGACACACACAACAAAGACAAAGATCCCCCATATAACCTTTTACAGACTGTTACGGCAAGTGCTATTTGCGAGCACCTATGAAGGCCGGCACGGTACACGATGTTTACAAACCGCACCAGGAACTGATTTTAGGCTGAGTCGACAGGTGCGTTCACACATACACACACACACCTCGCACACACACAGGTGTATTCATACACAAAAGGTGTATTCACACACACCTCACTCACAAATGTCTTCACACGGACACACGCCTCACATACACACAGGTGTATTCACACAAGGTGAATTCACACACAGATGTATTCACACACACACACACCTCACTCACAGGTGTCTTCACACAGACACACACCTCACACACACACACACAGGTGTATTCACACATACACACTCACACCTTACTCACAGGTGTCTTCACACGGACACACACCTCACACACAGGTGTATTCACAGGTGAATTCACACACAGGTGTATTCACACATACACACACCTCACTCACAGGTGTCTTCACACAGACACACCTCACACACACACAGGTGTATTCACACTCACACACACCTCACTCACAGATGTCTTCACACAGACACGCACCTCACACACACACACAGGTGTATTCATACACACTCACACCTCACTCACATATATCTTCACACAGACACACACCTCACACACACACACAGGTGTATTCATACACACTCACACCTCACTCACAGATGTCTTCACACACACACACACCTCACACACACACAGGTGTATTCACAGGTGAATTCACACACAGGTGTATTCACACATACACACACACACACCTCACTCACAGGTGTCTTCACACAGACACACACCTCACACACACACACAGGTGTATTCACACTCACACACACCTCACTCACAGATGTCTTCACACAGACACACACCTCACACACACACAGGTGTATTCATACACACTCACACCTCACTCACAGATGTCTTCACACAGACACACACCTCACACACACACACACACAGGTGTATTCATACACACTCACACCTCACTCACAGATGTCTTCACACAGACACACACCTCACACACACACACAGGTGTATTCACACACACACACACCTCACTTACAGATGTCTTCACACACACACCTCACACACACATGTATTCACAGGTGAATTCACACATACACACACACACCTCACTCACAGGTGTCTTCACACAGACACACACCTCACACACACACACAGGTGTATTCACACATACACACACACACCTCACTCACAGGTGTCTTCACACAGACACACACCTCGCACACACAGGTGTATTCACACACAGGTGTATTCACACGCACACACACACACGCGTGTGTTCACCTGTCGCAGGTGGAGTCCAGCTCCTCGCAGTCACAGCAGCACGACAGCAAGTGAGTCGTCTGTCCTCGCCTGTTCACGAACTCGCAGCAACACAGCTCCTCCCTGCCCAGGGCAGGTGCCCGCCGGCCTCTCTTGCCCGAGACCGCGGGGGGTCTCCCGGGACCCCGGTCTCCCTTCTTCATCCCCTCCATGGCCCAGGGGCCGCCAACCTGCGACACGCACCGGCAGTGCCGGATTATCATTAGTAGCAAAAGTAGCTACTGCATATGTTGTAGTAGCTACTACATATGTTGTAGCTACGGGCCCCGCACTTTCAAGGGCCCCACGCTAAATGCTTTCAAGCTATCAATTCCGGTTCAGTGATTCTGCACTTGCTCTATTACTATAGTACGATACCGCCTTCAACTTTTACGAACGACTGGGTGTTTAAGTTTGGCGATTTGTCGTATCATCTGGCTGTATAGAAAATGGAAAAAAATACAATTACTTTACTATACAAATTACATATTGTTTTAGATTTGTTTTTTTTTATATATTCAGGGCCCCTTTATAACATATGCCACAGGCCCCGCACGAGCTTAATGCGGCCACTGCGCACCGGTTCGCCACCGGCACGTGGCGAGTCAAGGCTCTGATACATCCGTGGTCGACTCGAGCCCTCGTACGGTGGGGAAAGGGGCCATCCATTGAGTACGTAAGCATGGAGGGCGGCGGGTTAACCCAAATGCGTACGCTTGCGTATGGGGGGGGGGGGTCTACTGACAGTGTACATACGCGTAGGAAAGGGGGGGGGGGGTGAAGCCTCGATAATATAATTTGTCCACATGAGTTAGATATTCCGGCGGCGGTGGACTATCTGTTTGCTTAAACACGTTAATATTATTAACTCGGGGTTGTTCGGGGGGTGCCTGTGGCGACCCTCACAACCATTGACGGCCTTCGGGCCAGGAAAGTCACGGAAAAAATTGCACAAGAACGACGCATTCACGCAAGCACCCGATGCTCCGTTTTGAAGTTTTAAAATAAAACATCTTTGAATTGTATTATGTTTTGAATTAGAAAATGTTATGTCTTCATTAAAAGCTTATATAATTTTACATCTGGAATACGTAATTGAAAAGGACATTTCGTGTGAATTCTCTCTCGTCGTTAAGTAGATGGCCTTGCCGGGGGTTCGGTTCGATGCGGACTTTCACCTGGTTGGGATTGCGGGATCGAGATAAGGCGACATAGATCTGGCCGTGCGAGAAGACCGCCGTCTGCAGATCGATACCAAGGTGATCGAACGTCTGTCCCTGCGCCTCCGTCGTTCATGCAGGGGGCGCGTGTAGGTTTACAGCGCCCCCTGCATGAAAACGACGGAAAGTGATAGCGTTCATCGCAGATAAAGTTGTGCGCTTGGGAGCCGTCCATGAATGACGTCACGCGATTTTGGACGATTTTTGACCCCCCCCCACTCGTCACACGGCGTCACAGAAAGTCAGACCCCGCCCTTAAATATGACGTCACAAAGCTCTGCCCCCCCAAAAAAAACATGCTTCAAATCCCTTTAAACTATTGTCATTGTAGTGCGTATTTAATGTGGCGCTGCACTCTGATGTTGTAGGAGAAAACATTTATTAAAAAGTATATTGAATGAAGTAGAACGTGTTGTCTATATTTATTTAAAGTTGCGCATTTTGATGTGACGTCACATTTCTCACCCCCCCTCCCTTCCCCCCCTCGTCACACATCGTCACAAATATCTGACCCCCCCCCCCCCGCAAACTCTAGGTGCGTGACGTCATTTATGGACGTGGATTAAATATCGGCAGTTCTATAGGATTTGGGGGTGGGGCTGTAAAAAAAGTCCGCGCGGGGTCAAGTTTCGACAGATTGTTGCGTACCGACTAAACGGATGGCCCCAAACTCGGTCGAGCAGGTATATCTCTCGCCCTCCCGAGGCGATTATGAGTGCCCGTACCTGGTGGATGGGGGGGAGCGTGCCAAAAATTATACCCCACATCAGCGCTGGGGGAGACAAAGGCGGCCGGGCGTGGTGTTGTATCATCGGTGCTCGCAAACGTCACTCACGTGGTTATTTGTCTTCGTTGTGCGGGAGTGTTACGGACAATCGCAAACCGATGAAGGTCACAGCACGGCACACGAGGTTGTGGACAGCACCACGCCCGGCCGCCTTTGTCTCCCTTAACGGCTGTGGACAGCTACACACACGCACACACACGCACACATACACACAAGTCACACACACACACAAGTCACACATACACACACGCACACATACACACAAGTCACACATACACAAGTCACACATACACACACGCACACATACACACAAGTCACACATACACACAAGTCACACATACACACAAGTCACACACACACGTCACACATACACACAAGTCACACATACACACACGCACACATACACACAAGTCAGACATACACACAAGTCACACACACACGTCACACATACACACAAGTCACACACACACGTCACACATACACACAAGTCACACACACACGTCACACATACACACAAGTCACACATACACACACGCACACATACACACAAGTCACACATACACACAAGTCACACATACACACAAGTCACACACACACGTCACACATACACACAAGTCACACATACACACACGCACACATACACACAAGTCACACATACACACAAGTCACACACACACGTCACACATACACACAAGTCACACATACACACACGCACACATACACACAAGTCACACATACACACAAGTCACACATACACACAAGTCACACACACACGTCACACATACACACACGCACACATACACACACGCACACATACACACAAGTCACACAAACACACACACACATACACAAGTCACACACACATACACAAGTCACACATACACACAAGTCACACACAAAGATCGCCCGTGCAAACCTTACAGACTAACAGTGAATGACTGTAGTGTGTGTGTGTTGACTACAGTACTGTAACTTACACCACACACACACACACCGGTACAACCTTACAGACCGACAGTGAATGACTGTAGTGTGTGTGTGTTGACTACAGTACTGTAACTTACACCACACACACACACCGGTACAACCTTACAGACCGACAGTGAATGACTGTAGTGTGTGTGTGTGTTGACTACAGTACTGTAACTTACACCACACACACACACACCGGTACAACCTTACAGACTGACAGTGAATGACTGTAGTGTGTGTGTTGACTACAGTACTGTAACTTACACCACACACACACCGGTACAACCTTACAGACCGACAGTGAATGACTGTAGTGTGTGTGTGTTGACTACAGTACTGTAACTTACACCACACACACACCGGTACAACCTTACAGACCGACAGTGAATGACTGTAGTGTGTGTGTGTTGACTACAGTACTGTAACTTACACCACACACCCGGACCGGACTTCCGCCTGGTGACAGTGACACAGTGTGACAATTTTTTTTACGAACGACTTCTCGTTACATACGGGAGCCCAATTGCTTCAAGCCACACACACACACACACGCGTGTACACACACACACACACGCGTGTACACACACACACACGCGTGTACACACACACACACACGCGTGTACACACACACACACACGCGTGTACACACACACACACACGCGTGTACACACACACACACACGCGTGTACACACACACACACACGCGTGTACACACACACACACACGCGTGTACACACACACACACGCGTGTACACACACACACACACGCGTGTACACACACACACGCGTGTACACACACACACGCGTGTACACACACACACGCGTGTACACACACACACGCAAACAAAGACTAAGATCCCCCGTATAGCCTGCACAGACTGTTGGGGCAAGTGCTGTCACATATGAAGGCCGTATATATACACTCACGTATATACACACACGTATCTATATACACACACGTATACACACACACATGTGTACACACAATATACCAGCTGTACGACTATGATACGAATGGACTAAGCACGTGCAGTACAGAGCGCCCTATACACACACATATGTAACATACTAGTAAACTTATACTAATATTCACACACACACACCGACATGTACATTGTCGCGTATACGTGATAGAGACACCGCTGTGCGAATGAGTACCTTTTGTGGCAGAAGCCAGGAGCTGAATCATTGATTGCCTGTTAATTAGTGATGGCGAGTCCACCCGCAGGAGGCAATTACGGACACTGGGCACAAGGTGGCGACACAGCGTTGCTAATTCTCGCAATGAACACTTGAAAATCTTTATTGTGAGAATTATATCGGATGACATTGTAACGGCGGTGTCAATTATCAAAACGTGTTACTGTTGTGTCGAAATCAATGCTGTTAATTATAATAATGTTTAAGGGGGCGGGGGGGAAAAAAATGCAAAAACGAGTGTGGCCCGTACGGGGATCGAACCCGCGACCTTGGCGTTATTAGCACCACGCTCTAACCAACTGAGCTAACCGGCCAACTGACAGTAAGGATCCGCAATGCATGTATGAACTGTGTATTTAACACGGGCATGTCGTATCTTTCGTGTGTTTCAAGAGACCGTTTTATAACCACAATGTATTTTCTCAGAAATGAACTTAAACCCTTCAAACGAATTCGCTAATTCATTCAAGGACTTCCCTTTATATATAAACAAATTCAGATGGTGAAGATAATTATTAGTACGAGTCGTGGTTGCGCTCCTTGATTAACGGAAGATTTCACGCTGCCTGCCAAATGCTTAAGACGGAATATCTCACGGCATCCAGCCACACACGTGGTGATTCGATGGCCGTTGTTAACTATGTAATTCACGTGGTTCAACTAACATTTCGTGAGTAGTCGTGGCCGAGCGGTTAAGGCGATGGACTAGAAATCCATTGGGGTCTCCCCGCGCAGGTTCGAATCCTGCCGACTACGGTAAACTTTTTATATTATTTTCGTTCATCTCAAAGTCTTTAATCGTTGTCTTCGCAACGCAAGCGCATATATACTTCGAAAAAATGATGAAAAATACGTTTCTTTTTTTCTTGCCATTGTCTTTATTTGCAAAACATTTACAAGCCTTTATCAACGAAGGCCCTTTAGATGTATATTATATATTCTTTGTTTCTTTCGGTAAAGTCACGTAGAAGGGAAACAATAAAATAATAAAAAATATAAAACAATTAAATTCTCACGACGTTTCGACTGCGACACAAGCAATCATCATCAGGTGTGAAAACCACAGCAAGAAAGAACCAAGAATATAAATCCCTGCAGTCACGAAAGCTTTAAATCAAACTTTAACCGCTCTTTAGATGCTTTAGACTTCGTGAACTTGAAAAAGACCCTTCCAGTTCAGTACTTACTCTCTAAGTGTTGTTTGGCATGTCAAGTGTTTTTTAATACAATCACAATTAACACAAAACGTGGAGTGTTTAAGTCAATGTATATACTGTACCGTTATCTCCAGGACACGTCGCCTCCCAGCAGATTTGGACGTTTTGCGAATATTTGCGATCCACCAACCCTTGCCCCCAGTGCTGAATAGCAGCCGTGCACGACAATACCCAATGTGGTGGTGTGCACCTGGCTCTTCAATCCTGCTTTCAATATTTTACCAATTTCCTTTTTGCTTATTTGAAGTGGCAGACAATCAGAGTATGTAGAAAACCCGATATGAGCTCGAACTGATGATGGCTGATGTATCCGTCCAGTAAAGTTTGTTTCGTGATATAGATGACTCAAGACAAGATGCAAAAGGATAGGGCCCAAGCAGCCTGGATTTATGAAAAGCGATGGATGCATCAAATATCAGCTCAAATCAACACCTCAATACGCAGGTAAATTATCATAAATTACACATTTTTAAACCTGAATCTCTTCTCCGTTACATTTGTCTTGTCTACATCTCGTTGTCATCTTAGATTAAGTTGAAATAGGGGTACTCAATGTCTGCTTCAGGACCCACAATGTGTGACCACCACTGCCAGTCAGAAGTCTAATTGCTGCACATGTCCATATCACTGAATTAAAAAGCATATGCTACCTCCACCATACGCTATCCAAGATCTTTTTTTAAGCTACTGTTACGTGTATAACCTCTTTCGCACCGTACATAGCCAACCACGCACATTGCTTCGAAATAAATGTATTCACAGTATCGTTCAGGTCAGTTAAACCACGATTCACACCAAAATTTTAATTGTAGAATCATACTTTATTTTACCGACAAGTCATTACAGGGAGGTCAGGTACAACCTCAGGAAAATGCATGTACAGCTGTGACAAGGGGGGAGAAGAGAATAGCGAGCGATGAAGGGGCAGATAGATGAAGGGGAAAACAGAAACTCTAAGGCAGATAGCCAGCGAAGTTGGCTGCCCACGTGCTGCATCCGCCTCCCTCATTTTTTTTCCCACAGATGCTTCTCCTTGAGCTCCCGTTCAATCTCCTGGATGTATGGGGAGAGGTAAGCCTTTTCCTGCAAGGGGAACAGAGGGTGGGGCAGCAGAATGAGCACAAGTATTTATCTTAGGTCCTACAATTCAGCAGAGGGCAAAGCAAAAAAATATTGTACCGTACAATTATCAACGTCTCTGCTCTCTGCTTTCACCAACCAGCATGGTGAAATATTGCAAACAATCCAACAAGCCACATGGGAAGGCTCTTATCAAGCAGTGGACTGACAAAATGGGCCATACATGAACAAGATGTTTAAATCGAACTGTGTAAGTTACTTTGCAGAATATACTCAAACGAGAGATTATGCATATTCTACACGTACCATAAACAAGAGCAACATAAGAACATGTTATTTGATCAATGTCTCAAATTGTGACGAGATTTTGGCAGTGAATAACTACACGAAGCCTTGAACTCTATTGAGCGGTGGTATTTTAACTGCGTTTATAGTTGAGGTGAATTTCTTCACAAGTCTCATCAGCCCGCCAATGTCACCACATTACTTCATCAAGTAAATGCTCAACAGGAATATCAACTGCGACTTAAGATGCAGTCATAATGAGATTCTTTATTAATCAAAACTGCATTCTATTGTACTTTAGTTTTATGCAGCTGGTCAGAGGTTTGTCTCAAATGTTATCACTCATTGCATTCGCCTAAATGTAACATTATCATATCAATCGAAAAGAATACATGCGTTATACACGGGATATTTATGCATTCATCTTGAGCATCACAATATTTTACCAATGAAACGATTAATGTTTGCAATAACCACAACACAAGCAGTCAAAATGCAAACAAAAAAGACAACTCTGATAATAATATGCACTGTCCTTGAATTTGATTGGTCCACACCCGAGATGGCTTTTCTTAGAGCCTAGTCTTAGAGCCTAGCCTTCAATGGAGACTAGGCTCTAAGAAAAGCCGTCTCGGGTGTGGACCAATCAAATTCAAGGACAGTGCATATTATTATCAGAGTTGTCTTTTTTGTTTGCATTTTGACTGCTTGTGTTGTGGTTATTGCAAACATGATGCCTTGAATAAAGGTGTCAGTTTTTGTGCCAGTTGAAAGGGTAAAACTTATTCCTATAGGTACTAATTGTATTGACCTCAACACAGATGATGAGCTGAGTCAACCCCAACCAGAATTTTAATTTGGAAACCTTATTGCGCGCCACTGGCTCTACCTCTGAGCCACATGGCCAGTTTCTGGAGCAGTAGTCCCTCAATAGAATGGCACATTAACATTGAACTATCGATACTACACAGGTAATGATCAAAGTGGTTAGCGCACTGCACGATGAACCCAGTAACCCGAGTTTGAATCCTGGCCACAAATAACATCGGTTGCAAGTGATGTCTGAACCTTGTCTTGGGCAACCCCCTTCTTCACCAACCCACACCGACTAGCATGGTGAAGTAGGGTCAAACAACCTCCATGAGTGGCAAAGCTATTTAAATAGAGCATGTGCAGACCGGCACCCAGCAAGATACTTTTTTTTGTATCTTCAGCTCCACCCTCTGCATACCACCACCAGTCTCCTGCCACCCACTCAGCAAGGCAGCTGCTTGCCCGTACATTTTCAATCTTTGTCCACTGGTCCTTGGGAAGGATCTGGTGCTTGAGCGAGAGGTCGAGGGCACGCTTCATGCGGAACACACGCTCGTTGTACAGGTTCTCGGGCAGCCGCCGGATTGCCTCCTTGATGATGTCATTCTCATGCAGCGTGTCCTCGTACATAAGCCCTGGAAAGAGGCCGTGGGGAAGAGGTAGAATGTTAATGATGGAGGTTGGGAAGAGAGGAAGGCAGTGGAAACAACAAACTATTTGAGAGACTCAACGATGACAAATTTCCACACGTCAGCGTGATGGGTGTAATTTCTCAGACTATTTAACAAAGTAATAATTGAAGAGATTAAAAAAAATGATAGGGAATTAAAACTAACATTCACAGATTAACATTCAAAGTATTCCCTACTACACACGTAGTCTAGAACTCCCTTCCCCCTGCCATCTGTGCTGTGGAGTCCCTGCCCCTGTTTAAGTCCAGGCCCAAGAGCTTCCCCCCCTTTTTCCTCTCCCTATGTCAGTCAGTCAGTTTATTTCGAGTGAGGCCCATTGAGCTAAGAAACGATAATTATTCAATGGTAACCAAACCGATTGATTTTAGGTTTGGTCTTAAAGCATGGATTTTTTATATATATATATAGAATGTAATTATCCATCAAATAATTGATTCAAATTAATTGCACTCACATTAATATAATTCTGCAAAAAGTTATGGATTCTGATTCAAATACAGTATGTTGAAAATGTTTACACGTACATTTTATATATTCATACCACTATGTTTCCCATTAACGACACAAATTCGTGAAAATCATGATCATTGTTAGAATTCAAGGTAATATATTTGGTGTCATTAATCAAATCTCTACATTAAAATGAGTATTTTGTATTTAAATTATGAGTATTATCTTGCCATGACAGTGTTTATTAACGTTTTGGTTGCATCACTTTGACCAAATGATTCGCGTGATATTACAAAGTATGCATGTAATGTGTATGGAGATTAGGATGCGAGTTCTTACCATACTTGTTGAAGCCAGCCGCATTGTAGTACCAATTGCGGAACACATTGAAAAACCTCCGAGTGACCGTCACTGCAAGACATGAACACGTGTATATAACCGCCATTATCCACTAAGTGGAGGAGACACCACCACGGCACTTGTGCCGTGGTGGTGTCTCACACACACCATCAACAATCACATCCATTCACCAAGAGGGCATGTGGAATGGCGGTGGCTCACTGAGAGTTTGCGGATAGGTGCATTTTCTCCAGCCTCTCTAATTTCCTCTCACAAATACAAATATTAAAAGATTAATGAACCAAAGAAAGTGACTTCTGTCAACGTAGATGTGGCGAAAGAATCGAAACGTGTCGCTACGGTCTCATATTCTCATCCAATCATTGTTGTCTTTCGTCCAATTGCAGACCTTGAGATTTTGATGACATTAAGGAACACCAATTCCTTTAGTTTCCATGTATACTTAAGGAATTAGGGTTAAGGATAGCATTGGGGTTTCGAGTTAGGAATCATGTTTCAAGATGTGATGTGGGTTTAGGATCAGTCTTTAACGGTTTTTTATTATGACCCAGGAGTTAGGGATAAGTTTAGGATTTAGAATTCGGGTTATGGGTGTGGGTTGAAGTTTACATGTAGGCGTTCTGGGGTTTTGTTGTTGTTAGGGTTTAGTTACGCTAGGGATTTACTTATCGGTATTTAGATGTAGAGTAGTCTACCTTAACATTGGTGTAACCTTGGGGTAATTTTAACTTCAGACGTCTATTGCAAGCGGACCCAGCGACCTCCTGAAAATGGGTATCGAGGTTGATGGGCCTCTTTTCCCTAGTTGAAATATATAAATTTACATATCATATTTTAATTAAACATACGTTATATGCATCAATGCATGATATAGCTGCATGCATTGTCAGCCAATTCAGATATTACGTTACTGCCGATTGAAAATCTACGTACGCGAATCCACGCAACCGATGTATGTGCTGTACGTACATGCTTGTGTAAAAAATATATATAAAGACTGTACACGTATAAATATTTGTTTGCCAATCCACTGCTGGATGAGGCCCTCCCCGCGCCGTGCGGTTTATTTTGCCATACTTCACCACACCGGTTGCCGAGGGCGGGGAGCATAGACGCCTGAGCACAACGCAGTACAACTTATTCCGCCTCTGCCTGCAACACGGCGCAAACCTCGCAACCTACGGCACCTGTTATACAGTACTGTACGTGGCAGCAGTCCGCGCATCGAAGACCTAGCCAGGGTCAACCACCGCGTAGCTGCATTGAACTGAAGAGTCGGGGGAGCATATCCCGGTGATTTGATCACAGGTCGTGGGGGGAGGGGGTACAAATAAAGACACAAATAATTTAAACGAACGTCAATTACACGAACAAATGACTTTACCGCGCCTAATAACCCACACTGAAGTCAAGGACAATGTGTAGGCCTCAGGATGTCGGGGCACAAAATCCTCGCGGAACCGCCCGCGATTAAATGACCGCAAGGCGAAGCGCCGCTCTCGCATCCGTTGTAGCGAACGACTGAAACACCTGGAGGAAGGCGAACGTTTAAATAAACAAGAACCACCATCACCAAAGTGTAAAGTTGTAACCGGTGGGACACGAACCTGACCCCTGGCTCGCCATGTTGAGTCGGCACCGAGGAGGAGCGCGCGCGGAATCACGGGAGGTCGATGACGTCGCTGTTGCAATTCGCAGTTCGTATAAACAGTGCGAGGTTTAATAATATAACGTTGATAATGTAACACTCAATATAATTATGTAACGTTGGTAATGTAGCATTGATAGTAATGTAAAAATTGGTAATGTAGCATTGGTAATGTAGCATTGATAATGGAGCATTGGTAATGTAACATTGATAATGTAGCATTGGTAATGTACCATTGTAGCATTGATAATGTATCATTGGTAATGTAGCTTTGTAGCATTGATAATGTATCATTGGTAATGTACCATGATAGGATTGGTAATTCTA